GCTTCCCTCTCTCTAGCCTCAACCCCCAGCCTCCTTTCCCCTCATGAAGCTGTGACAGGAGTAGGGGGAGATTTAGATCCTGCAGACTCCAGAGTCTGGGTGAGGAGGGGGCTGTGTCTGTGCCCCAAGCGCCAATCTGCTGCCTCTGGCCCTCCTGCCTTGGCGTCTCCGGGTGTAGGGCAGGAGGGATGGTGGAGGAAGGCGGGGTGCTTTGCCTGGGGTGGGGGCCGAGCGTGGGTGTCTCCGGGCTGCAGGCGCCCTTCTTAGGAGGATGGCTCTGGGCGGGGCGAGTTTGTGGGGGCTTCCCTGGCCCACTCCCCAGGACCATCCTGCCCTCCAGGCGGGGGTCTCGGCATCCCCACGGCATCCTTTCCCATCACGCCCCCCCAGCTTCTCTTTGCAGGACCACTCTTGAGAGCAGGGTTCTTTGAAGACCCTGGGGCACAAGCCGTGTGACTGGGAACCGCCGACAGTCCCTGGGCACGGGGCCCCCAGGCTCTGTGTCGACCTGCGGCTGGGACTCAGCTGCTGCTCTGAGGCCTCCTTCCTCCAGCCTCCTTCCCTCTTCCTCAGCTCAGGCTCCTCCTCTGTCCCAGACCCAGGGGAGGGGGCAGAGGGCTCAGCCTGTGTGGGGCAAAGGGTCTGGCCATTCTGGGCCAGCTGTGTGCAACCCACAGGACTCAGGCCACCATCTCTGGGTGGAATCTGAGTGCCGGCTGTGGCCCTCAGGGCTCCTGGAGGTGACTTGGGGTGGGAGGGGACAGCCAGGGAGAGACCCCCGGGCCTGTGTCCTTGCCCACTGGCCTCCCCACCCCCATCGTCTGTCTCCCATGTGGGTGTCTGTGGAAGAGCCCCTCGGGAGGTTGGACGAGGAGGGCTGTCAGCAGGCGAGGCCACATGGCCTTGGACGGGTTTGGTGCCTCCCTGACACTCAGGCTCCAAGCCGGGAGGCCATCCTGGGCCGGGGACCAGAGGGAGTGGGGACGTGGCATCCTCAGCCCGGCCTGGCCGGCCTCGTTCGTGGGAGGCCCAGACGGGGCTGAGTCATCACAAGCCGAGAGCTGCACGGAGCAGGCCCAGCTGTCCGCAGGGCCTTGGGGATATCCCCGTGTTATGACAAACCCAAGCCGGGAGGGCGGGCAGCAGGACCGGGCGTCCGGCAGGCATTCCTGCAGCCGACCTCCTGGGAAAGGCCGGCTAAGGCTGGAGGGTGGAGGCCATGGGGGGCTGGGGCCGTGGCTGTCCCCGCGTTGGCCTGCACTTCCTGGCTTAGGGTGACCGGTCACCCTGGTTGTCCTATGACGGAGGGATTTCCCAGGACTCGAGCCTGTCAGCACTCAAGCCGGGAGAGTCTTGGGCAAAACCGGACCATTGTCACACTAGCTGCGGCTGTGTAGCTGGAGAACATTCCCCGTTTGTGAAACAAAGGCTTGGGGGGGGAACTGAGGCCACAAAAATGAAGACACAGGCCCAGGGTCCTGAGGCTCCTGGGACCAGATCCCAGAGTCTTCCGGTCCAGGCCAGTACTGTTCCTACTGAATGCTGCAGTCTAGCCCAGGGTGGCAACTGCCAAGGGGAGGCAGCTTCTGGAACCCTCTGCTCCAGCACCTGGCAGACCTTTGTGCCTGACCGGAATTGGTGGGATGTATGACACCGGGCCAGACGAGCGTGTTTAGAGTACCTTGTTCCGCAGGGCCCCACACGGAGTGAAGCCCTTTTCACACCCACACTCGCCGTCTGCGCCTCATCCCTCTCAGATAGTCCTCTCTCCGACTGCCACCTTATGCCAAGGAGCCTTCGGTGGACTTCCTGCCTCAGTTTCCTCTCACTGTGAGTGGGGAGAGTTGCCTCTCCCCGTAGACACTCTGTGAAGTCACTGTTTCCTGGACCCTGCCAGCCAGCAGGGCTCCCTCCCACACAAGCCCAGACCCTCTCGGAGCCCTCAGCCCATGGCCCAAACCTCAGACAGAGCTGCCATGCCAAAGGGGGCAGCCAGGAGGCTTATCTATGCCCCCCGCAGGAACACGGGCCGGATCTCTCTGTTCTTCATACTGGGAGCAGAGGTTCATGAACTCAGACTCTGGAATCAGAGAGTCCTGGGTTCGAATCCCCTCTCTGCTGCCCCCTGTTTCTGTATAGCAGGTACTAATGCCTCTCTCCTGGGAAGATTTGGCAAGATGCCACCATGCAGTCGTGTGACCTCCACACAGCCCCATGGAGCAGGGGTTATTCTCATCTTCACTTACAAATGAGGAAACCTAGAATCAGAGAAGGGAGGTGAAAGCCAGGACCACCAGCCAGTCTGTTTCTAGGTTCATGAAAGTAAAAAAATCAATATAGCTGCTCAGGTCTAGAAAAGTCATGCTGCACTCATTCTAGGAGTCCCCATCCCCCTCCCTGTATGATGACTATACTTTTGTTTCCCTTGGTGGTCTCCATTCCCATTAACAATTTAATTTTAGGGATTTATTATTTTTGAGTCAGGGTTTCACTCTGAGCCCAGACTGGAGTGCAGTGGTATGATGAGGTCTAGCCACAGCATCAACCTCCTGAGCTCAGGTACTTCTTCTGTCTTAGCCTCCCATGTAGTTGGGATTACAGGCACATGCTACCACATCCAGCTAATTGTTTTATTTTTTGTAGAGATGAGGTCTTACTATGTTGCCCAGGCTGGTAGGTCTTGCAGCTTTTGTTCAACTTTTTTTTTGTTGTTGGTGACAGTTACCCATATTGTTTCATATATTGTAATTAATTCTTTGTCATTGCTGTATAATGGAAAATATGCAACAATGAAAGAATGGGTTATTTCCATTCTGGGGATGTTATGAATAAAATGGCCATGGATGCACTTGTACAGATTTCTTGCCATGAGTATATGAGAAAAGCTCTAGGACTTGATGGCTTGTAAGATTTCCACATATTCAAATGTGAGGGACAATTCCAGATTGCTTTCCAGAATGGGTTTTACAAATTAGCACTCATAGCATCATCTAATGAGAGTTTCCATTACTCTGAAACCTCATCAATAATTGGTACCTATATATTTTTTGCCAATCTGGTGGGTTAATGATTATTGTGATAGGGCTCCTTTCCTATGTTTACTATGTTTATTGACTATTAAGAGTTTATTTTCTGAAAGTGCTTGTTCATTTTTTTTGCACACTTCTGTGTTGTTTTTTTTTTTTTTTTTGAGTCGGAGTCTCACCTTGTTGTCCAGGCTGGAGTGCAGTGGCACACTCACAGACACTGCAGCCTCAACCTGCTGGGCTCAGGCGATCCTTTTGCCGCAGCCTTCCAAGTAGCTGGAACTACAGGAGGCACATGCCACCACGCCTGGCTAATTTTTTTGTTTATTGTAGAGACGAGGTCTCACCATGTTGCCCAGGCTGGTCTCAGATCCCTGGACTCAGGTAATTCTCTCACTTTGGCCTCCCAAAGTGCTGGGATTACAGGCTTGAGCCACCGAGCCTGGCCTGTGTTGATATTTTTGCCTTCTAAAAATATTAATTTATAGGAATTCTTCATAAATCTTGGAATTGTGCCCCAAGTTATGGGTTTACAACTATCTTTCTCACTCCCTAGCTTGTCTTTTTTCTGTTTGACATCTTTTGATGAACAGAGACATTTATCTTCTTTTTTTCTTGGTGGTTAGTGATCTTGGTCTCTTGATTAAGAAATTCTTGTGTATGCTGAAGGATAGAGGATAGTTTCTGAAGTCAATTTCTTAAAGCTGAAGAATGTTGGCCGGGTGCAGTGACTCAAGCCTGTAATCTCAGCACTTTGGGAGGCCAAGGTGAGAGGATTGCCTGAGCCCATGGGTTCGAGACCAGCTTGGGCAACTTGGCGAGACCTCATCTCTACAATAAATTAAAAAATTAGCCGGATGTGGTAGTGCACGCCTGTAGTTCCGGCTACTTGGAAGGCTGAGGCAGAAGGATTGCTGGAGCCCAGTAGGTCAAAGCCTGGGTGGCTGTGTGGGTGCCACTGCACTCCAGCCTGGGCAATGGAGTGAGACTCCAACCTCAAAAACAAAACAAAACAAAACAAAAAACCTGAAAAGCGTTATTTTCTGTGTTTAGGTATTTGTTTCACCTAGCATTGATTTTTGTGTGACATGTGAAGTCAGATACTAATTTCACTCTTCTCCCATGTGGGTGGGTACTAAGCGGTCTCAGAGTCACTTATTGAAGTCTTTCTTCCTCACTGATCTCTGTGAAACACCAAGTGTCCGCGTGTCTGTGTCTCCTTCTGATCTCTTAATTTTGTTTTCCTAAGAAAAGTATCTTTTCTTGTTCTAGTTCCACACTGTCGTGATCATTACAGCCTTATTAGAAATCCTGGTGTTCAAAGAATAGTTCTTTTACCTTGTTCTTTGTCAAGAACATCTTGGTCATGGTATGTTATCCTTCGTGTGGGTTTGGGTTTAGTGTGCTAGCATTTTGTTTGTGTTTATGCCCATGAGTGAGGTTGGCCTGTTACGGTCATTTCCCACGTTCCCACGTTTTCATTTTGACAATGACAATTGTCTTGTCAGGGTTGGGGTGGAATTCCTTCTTTCTCTATTATCTGTGAATGACGAGTATTCACTGGGTGAATGTTTCTATACCCGAGATTTTATTTGTGGGAAAATGTTGGACGAGTGATTTAGTTTCTTGAGTGGTCGCAGGACAATTAAGATTTTCTTGAACCATCAGATTTCTCTAGGAGCATGTTCTACATTTAAAATTTGTTAATACAAGTTTCTTAATGTCATCTTGTAATATTCCTTATCATGATATGTGTAACATTTTTCTCTTTGAAAAGTTAAAAATTCCTTAATTTTTTATTTCTGGTACACCACCACAGTTTACGGGGCAATATACCTGATGTAACGAAAAGAAAAAGAAAAAGAAAAAGCTACAACAGGCAAAAGACCTCAGGAATCTACATCTAATTGACACTACGTTGCATTAATCAATAGCTGCACTTTTTGCAAACTGTGGCTGTGAAAGTCCTGAACAAGAAGGGCTTCCTGTTGAAGCTTCAGTAACTTTTCTGAATATGGATCATCGTTCCTTCTGTGGCAGATTTTGACCGTTCCTCTAACGCATTTGGGACGACGTTCTCCAAGTAACCTGCGGCTTTCCTGACAACTCTTAGCTCTCTCTCCTGCTAAGAACTGTAGCCCTTTTTTTTCTGCTGTTTTTAGAACCTGCTGCTACCATATCCACTACTCCCACCACCAGATCCATAACCACCACCACAGGGACTGCCCGAGGTTCTTCCACCAAAACTGCCCCCTTGCATGGGTCCATAATTTGATGGCTGTTGTCCACCACCTCCATAGTTACCACCTCCAAAATTTCCTCTTTCATTGTAACCATCACATCCTCCACCACCGCCACCATATCCACCACCTCGGTTTCCATATCCTGCTCCATAACCCGCTCTACTTCCATATCCAGGACCACCGCCATAGTTGCCACCATCGCCTCCAAATCCATTATATCCACCATCACCTCCTCCATAACTACGTCTGCTGCCACAATCTCCACCACCATAGCCTCCTCTTCCACCAAAGTTTCCACCACGGCCAAAATTACCTCCACTACCTCCAAAGTTTCCTCCACGACCCATAAAATCGCCAGATCCACCTCCACGACCTCTTTGTGGTCCAGCAGATTGCATCTCTTGTTGAGAAAGGGCCTTTTCCACTTCACAATTATGCCCATGAAGAGTGTGGTATTTCTGAACAACAATTTTGTCAACTGTATCACGATCATCAAAAGTGACAAAAGCAAATCCTCTTTCGTTCCCACTCTGCCTGACTTCCATAACTTCTATGGTTTCAATTTCACCATACTTTTCAAGGTAGTCTCTCAAATTATATTCTTCTGCATCTTCTTGAATACCACCAACAAAGGTTTCCTTCACTGTGAGATGGGCACCAGGCTTTACGGAATCCTCTCCAGCTCTGTTTGGTTCCACGACACACCCATCAACCTTGTGTGGTCGACCACACATTGCTGCATCCATCCCTTCAACCCGAGAGTAAGTCCCCAAACCAAAGCCCCTGGAGCATTTTGTTTGGGGGTCTCTCATTACCACACAATCTGTGAGTGTGTCCCATTTCTCAAAATGTTCTCTCTTTTTTTTTTTTTTGAGTCAGAGTCTCACTCTGTCGCCCAGACAGGAGTGCAGTGGCCGCTCCCGACCACCGCAGCCTCGACCTGCCGGGCTCCGGCGATCCTTCCGCCTCAGCCTTCCCAGTAGCCGGAATTATAGGCATGGGCTACCACGCCCAGCTGATTTTTTGATTTATTGTAGAGGTGAGGTCTCGCTGCCCAGGCGGGTCTCGAACCCGCGGGCTCAGGCCATCCAGTCACCTCAGCCTCCCAAAGGCACGGGATGACAGGCTGAGCCACCGAGCCCGGCCTCAAAATGTTCTCTTAAACTAGTATCTGTAGTTTCAAAACTCAGACCACCAATGAACAGTTTTCTCAACTGCTCTGGTTCCTTTGGATCATGGTCCTAACATCGCAAGCAAGTGAAAGTTTCCAATGTGGCTGCAGTCCTCTAAAACAAAAATCCAGGGAACTACAACCAGAGCCGACCCAAAGAACGGGAAAACATGGAAATCAAAAACGTTTTTAAGTTCCCAGATACCATCTACACTCAAATTCTCAAATACCAGGTACCTCACCCACATGGCAATTTGAGAAGGATTGTTCTAAATACGTTAGCAAGAGTGAAGATATTTTAGAGCAGCAAACTTTTGAAAAACCTCAGATTGCCGGGCTCGGTGGCTCAACCTGTCATCCCACTCCTTTGGGAGGCTGAGGTGAGTGGATGGCCTGAGCCCACGGGTTCGAGACCCGCCTGGGCAAATTGGCGAGACCTCATCTCTACAATAAATTAAAAAAAAAAAATCAGCGGGGCGTGGTAGCACATGCCTGTAATTCCGGCTCCTCGGAAGGCTGAGGTGGAAGGATCGCCGGAGCCCAGCGGGTCGAGGCTGCGGTGGCCGGGAGCGGCCACTGCACTCCTGTCTGGGTGACGGAGTGAGACTCCAACTCAAAAAAAAAAAAGGAAAAGAAAAACCTCAGATTGCCAACTGGATGCTCCTCCCGGAGCTGGAGTCGGGCTGAGGGCAACCGGGCGGCGGTTTTACCTCCATTTTGAGAGCGGACTCACCTCTTCCAACTCGAGTTCAACATGGGACCGAGAGGAAGAGGCCAATATTTTTTTTCTATTCTCAATATTATTAAGTACGTTGTTGTATCTTCACTTTTTCTTTCATTTGTTCCTGCTAGAGGCATGTACATTTTATTATTTAATATTTTTAAGAAACCAATTTGGTTTTTAAGTTTTCTCCATTGTACACTTTTTATTTCATTAAGTTATTTTTATTTAATGTGTTTATTCATTTTTAAATTTTTTTCTACACCTTTGGAATTTTTTAAACTTGTTTTTCCTAGTTCTTGACAGCCAGATTGAGCTGAGTAATTTCCAACCTTTCTTTTTTCTGATACAGTCACTTAAGACTAAAAATGTCTTCAGTGTATTGCTTTACCAGCAGTTTTGATATGTTGCATTTTGTATTCATAATGCTCATGAATTCATAGTATTCCATAAAAGCAGTTTCTAATTTTCATCAACATTTTCTCTGAAAACAGGTTATTTAGAAATGTTCGTTAATTTTTAAACATAGATGAGGCTTTCCAAATCATCTTGCCTATAGGTCAGAAAATATTTTCTGGTTATGTCAATTCCTGGAAATGTCTTGAGGTCTGCTTAGCCTCAAGATAGAGTCGCCGCCCCTAAATGTTCTACGAGTGCCTTGGAAGACCCCTGGAGTGCGGGGGGCGTGCGTGTGAATGACGCAGCTGCTCTGCCTGCCACACGCCTCTCAAGATCTCCCACTGGGACTGTGGGTTTGCCTGTTTCTTCTTAGAGGCTTTTGTTGTTTACCTTTAATTTTCAAGCCATGTTTTGAGTATATGCAGTCCGGTTTTGTTTTCTTTTCCTGGCGAATTGAATGTTTTATCATAATGAGGTGACTATTCTTGGTAATGCATCTTGTCTTCAAGCGTAGTTTGTCTGACTTCCCCTGGTTTGTTGCTGTGTATAGTATCCTTTATTCTTTTGCTTTCAGCCGCTGTGAATTCTTATGTTTGGAAAATTCCCTGTAAACATCATGTGGTTTGATATTTTCCCCCCTAGTCTGTCAATCTTTGTCTTTTAACTGGAGTGTTAGCCAATTTATTTTATTTTAATTTTTTGAGTCAGAGTCTCCCTCTGTCACCCAGGCTGGAGTGCAGTGGCACCACCATGGCCACCACAGCCTTGACCTGCTGGGCTCAGGAGAGCCTTCCACCTCAGCCTCCCAAGTAGCTGGAACTATAGGCACGTGCCACCATACCTGCCTCATTCCTTATTTTTTTGATTTATTGTAGAGGTCTCACTATGTCGCCCAAGCAGGCCTCTCACCTTGGCCTCCCAAAGTGCTAGGATTGCGGGCGTGAACCACCACCCCCTACCATGACATTGAAATTTAATATAGTTACTTACCTATTTAAGTGCATATCTACTACATCTTACTTGTTATTTAGCAGTGCTGTGTTTCTCTTCTTTTTTTGCCTTCTTTTGGACTGTGTACTTTTTATTACCATTTTCCACTCTACTAGTTTACAAGTTACACACAATTGCTAGTCTTGTAGTGGTTTATCTTTAACTTAGTTTATTTGTGTCCCTTCCAAAATAAATAACCACAAACTGGGTGTGCCTTGAGACAATAGAACTTTATTCTCTTTTAATTCTGGAGGTCAGAACTCTAAAATTAAGGTGTCAGTAGGTCCGTGCTCCCTCCGGAGGTTCTAGGGAAGCCCCTCTAGCACCTGGTGACCCCAGGTGTTCCTCGGCTTGTAGATACATCATCCAACTTCTGCCTGTCTTCATGCGACCTCTTCTCTGTATCTCTCTGTGTCCTCTCCTCCTCCCATAAGGACACAAGTCATTGGATTTAGGGCCTGCCCAGCCCAGTGTGACCTTACCTTCCTCCTTATCTAATTGCCTTTGCAAAGACCCAACTTCTCTCTTTTTTTTTTTTTGAGTTAGAGTCTCACCCTGTCGCCTGGGCTGGAGTGCAGTGGCACACTCACGGTCACCACAGCATCAGCCTGCTGGGCTCTGGTGATCCTTCTGCCTCAGCCTTCCAAGTAGCTGAACTATAGGCGCACGCTGCCATGCCAGGCCAATTTTTTGACTTATTGTGGAGATGAGGTCTTGTCAAGTTGCCTGGGCTGGTCTCAAACCCGTCGGCTCAGGCAATTCACTTGCCTCGGCCTGCCGAAATGCTGGGATTACAGGCTAAACCACCAACCCGGCCTACCCAACTTCTATATAAGACCTTATTCTGAGTTCAGGGTGGACATGAACTTTGGGGGGACTCTCCTCACCCCAATATACTTATCAAGACACAAAGTTAGTCAATACCCTGGCCCTCTTCCGGACAGCGCAAGCATCATAGAAACGTTTGGCTTCATGTTAATTCCTCCTGATCTCTAGGTATTTTGATTCTATCTTGTTCTATTTTAACCCCCAAGACTTCATGATTATTTTGAATACAACCAGTGCTTATTTTGATGGACCCATTTTTGCCAGGGTCTGTGCCCACTGTACCTCCACCCACTCAGTTCTTCCACCTGGAATCACATGTCTTAGGCCTGGAATTCCCCCTTTAGGCTTTTCCTTGGAGACAGTTTGTTGCTGAACCCTTTCAGTTTTAATTTTTTGGAAAATGCCTTTATTTTGCCCTCTTTCTTGGAAAACTTTTCAGCTGGGTATTTTCTTTCAGCTCATTGAAGATGCCACTTCGCAAGCTTCTGGTTTTTATCTCTGTGTTGGACAAGTCAGACGTCAGCTTGCCTCTCTGGAAAGTCATCTCTCTGGTTCTGGCTGATTTGAAGATCTTTCTCTTTGTTTCGGCAGTTTTTCTAAGATGAACCTGGGTATGAATGGCTTTTTATTCATCCCACTTGGGGTCCATTGAGCTTTTTGCATCTGTGCCTGGTGTGTTTTGTGAGTTCTGTAAGGTCCTCAGGTATTATCTCCTCAAGTATCATTCTACTTCTTTTTTCCCTTCTTACCTTCTGGAACCTGATTTGATGACTTGGGACTTTCTCACTCTCTTCTTCGTATGTCTAAACTTCTCAAATTTTCTACCTTTGTGCCTCTCTGTGCTGCATTCTCTATATATTTTTCTGACCTATCTTAAATCCACAAATTCTCCTTCAGTTGAAGTGAACATTCTAACAATTCCATAAATAATTTCAATTATTATATTCTACTTTTAGCTTTCCACAGTTTTCTTTTAACCAAACCAATGTATTCTCACTGTTTCCTGTTTACTATAGATTTTTATCTTGCTTTTCTTTCTTTAAATGGAATAAAGACATCATTGTTTTGCAATATGTGCCTGACTCTTCTAGTAGCTGAAGTCTGTGGATCTGTTTCTGCTATCTGTTGTTTCTCTTGTTTCTCACTCATTGACTTCTCATTCCTTTTGTAGTTGTACTGACACCTGCTTGCTTTTGTTAGTAAGTCATTTGTGGAGGTTCTTTGAGGCCTAGGATGAAGGTGAATTTCTCCGGAAAGTATTTGTATTGGTTCCTCTGGTCACAGGCCACTGAAGACCCAGGGTCACCTTGCTCTAAAAGCATTGTTGGAGGTTTTTTTGGCTTGTCAAGAGATGTGAGCATGTGTTGCAGAGTTAGCTTGTGGTCACAATTTTCAGTGCCATCTCCACCCAGCCCCCACCCTAAGCCCAGCACTAGGGAGGTTTCACTGGTGGTCTCCTGTGGTGAGAGTGTGAGGTGAGTTTGCTTAAGGTTTCTCCACATCCCTGTGCTCCAGCTCTGTGAGGGGATCTCCTGCTGACCCCTCCTCTTTGAGTGGGCCCTGGCCTTGGGTCTCTGTGCCTTGCATATGGCCATGGAAACCCACGGTCCACTTGGTTCTGCCAGAAGCTCCCAGTTAAGAGCCCTGCCAGAGACCTTCATCTCCTTGAAGTCTTGCCTCCCTTAGGTTGTGACCAGCTGGTTCTTTACTATCTTGTTACCTCTTTGCTTTAAACAATATTGTTTTCAGCAGTTTTATCTATCAGTGAGGGATTGAGATGATTAACCTGACCTGGCATTTTATCTGAAATGAATGAGGGAGGAACCAAAACAAAAAAAACTCCTGGAATTTATTTGTGAAAAATTGTGCATTTATTCTTACATGTTTACACTTCAGTCACTTTCTAAGTCCTCTCTGTTTGATGCAATACACCTATTGAGATGCTTTCTCTACCGCTCAAATTTTTGAACTCATCCATTTTGATGGCCTCTAAGTGCTGCTGCCATTTTTTGTTTTACCTCTTCCTCATTGGCAAAATGCTTTCCTTTAAGGACTTTTTTCATCCAGGGAAACAAACCAAAAAATCACATGGGGTGAGATAAAAAACTGCTGAACACTTAGTGCAGGGTGGGTAGGTGTGCTCATAAATCACCCATCATGAAATGGGCAAACATGTTGAAAGATTCTCCAAAAAAAGAAAATTCATGGAGACCGAGCACAGCCTCTCACAACAACACTAGCTGGTCCACTGATGCTCATGGGTTTCCAGAACGTTCACCTGGTGGGGGAAGCCCGTACGACAAGGGGTCTTCGGGCCAGCCCCTGCTCCGTCCTTGTCAAACTGTTCCTGACACATGACTGGAGCTCAACTGCAGCTCAGGAACTGGACGTATCTGCTCATTTATCTTCCCAAACTGGAGTCCCTGCCTGGGCACAGCATTGGGACCTGCCCACAGAAAGATAATTCCAAGATTTTGGGGTAATCCCCCTCTTGGTTCCTGCTCTCTGTGCTTCCCTCATCCCTGTCATGAGCAAGCCGGGGGTCTCCGTTGTGAGCGTTTTCCCTGTCCCTGTGCTCTCACCAGCCCCGCCCCACTCCACAGACAGGTCCACCCTACCCCTGGGTCTCAGAAGCAGCTTCCTCACTGCTCTCTGAGGCCGGCCTTGCACCCTGACTGCCGAGGCTTTGGACACACAAGTCCAAGTCAGAGCACCTCTGACAAGGAAAGCCCTGGTGTGTCTCCCATTGAGGTAGGATAAACCCTCAACTCCTCTCCGTGGCTATGAGTCTCAAGATCTGGCCTCTGTCCACCCCTTGGCTCCATCTA